GAACATACTGGTTTTCCCTCATGTTTGTACACTGAAAAGAATAGAAGGCTTGCTTACGCTCTGCTTCTCTAACTGGCTTTTCTGTTCACATTCAAAAGTTCTTTATGTCCATACACATCTGAGTATTGTCCTACAATGTGGTGCTGGCTGAGGTGAGACCGACAGATCCCACTATGGACCCAGATGTGAGGAGCTCATAGGAGAAAAGTGAGTTAGGGACCCAGAGTCCAGACATGGTCCACACTGGGACATCCCAGCAAGTGTTAGATTCTGAGCTGTGAGCATGGCCTCCTACGGCCCCAGCACTAAGTCCCCTCATCATAGTGTTATGAGAGCACTATCAGAGACTCTGCTTTCGTCAAGTAAATAAAGGCTTAAGGTCAACCTCCAAGAACATGCTGGGTTCCTGGTGGCACATTTAGTTATAACTCCCACACGAAACTGCTTTGTCTGGGGCCACAGTCTTACCTACTTCATATACACATACTAGAGCTGTCTGGAGTCCACATTAGGGTTTTACTGTTTTTCGATTGCTTGTCAGGAACCATGGCTGAAGATCCTTTGGGTTTATCACCTCACAGACAATTTCGCCATTGAAGCAAGCCGAGAAGAAAGGCAACAACAAGAAAGGCCAGCCTGGCAGCCCTTAATCCTGCCTTGGCAGACAGGTAGAAGCCCTGCGGGTCTGTTCCTTGCCCTTCAGAACTGTCCAGGCACGGACATCCTACAAGTGTGCAAGCAGGAATGAGACATGTGCAAGAGACATCTAGACATCCCCAAGCCCACATTACCCCCTCCAGATCCACTTTAAGGTCATTCATGTGAGCTCTGTAATTTGTGAGTCTCTGTGCTAGGTGTTTGGGAGAGAAAGGAACAAAGAAGAGTTAAGATTTAGAAAACTAAAGACCTGTGTTTATCTTTAGAAAACTTATATTTAACCGTGGATGACACACAGCTGCAAACACTGCAGCCCACGGGTTCTGGGCCACATCGGCTTCATCACTCTTAGGTCTGCCCCTGCCTCAGCGTGTTACAATTTGCTGTCCTTATCTCTGTGACTTCTATCTCCTGCCCCTTCACCTCTTTCAGCCCTTCAGTGGACACTTCCTTTAAAGCTCTCCGCCACCCACAGGCCTCTCCTCTCCCCCGCTGTCTGTCCATCTCTTCTATGTAAGCACCATGGTTGGCTGAGTTTTTTTTTTTTTTTTCTGCTCTACCCAGTGCTTACAGCAGTTCCTAGTAGGCATTCTCTGCGTGTTAGTGGAGTTAATGAGTGGTCCAATTAATTAATTCAGGATTAGGGAGGGCCACATGCAGAGTTCTGATAGCCGGAAATCCAGTAGATGTGTGTGCTCAGCTTCTACTTGTTCATAACAACCAATCACTAACCAAGTGGCATAGAACAAGTACAGACTTCTATTTCACACCTATAGGTCAGAAGCCCAACTCTATCTCACTGCACGAGAATCCAAGCTTCCACTGACTGCAGGGGAGAATGTGCTTGCATACACACACACACACACACACACAGAGAGAGAGAGAGAGAGAGAGAGAGAGAGAGACAACTTCCAAGACTTCCTCTCCAGCCTCTCTCTTATACTTTTAAAGATTGCCATAATCATATTGGGCCCAATTGGGTAATCCAGAATAGTTCCTGGCTTTGCAGTTATCCTTAAAGAGCTCAGTCTCATCTACATCTCAGTCCCCTCTGCCGGGTAGCTTAGTGCCACGGGTTTTGGGCAGTCAGTGCATGGATCCCTTTGAGATCTGTTACTCTGCCCACTAGATGGATTGACAAGCAAGATGGTTTCCTTAGACTAGCAGTTCTCAACTTGTGGGTCGTAACTCCTTTGGCAAACCTCTATCTCCAAAAGTATTTACATTCTGATTGATAACAGAAGCAAAATTACAGTCATGAAGTACCAATGAAAAGAATTTTATGGTTGGGGGGAGGGTCATGACAACATGAGGAACTGTGGTAAAGGGTTGCGGCATTACGATGATTGAGAACCGCTTGCCTTAGAAGTGAAGACTGGAACTGCCAGGATATAAACCTAAAATGGGCACAATAAACATAAACATAAAATGGATGACTGTGGAGGCTAGAGGGAGAGGATGAGGTGGTCAGACTGAGACTTCAGGAGGTGCATGTGAGCTTGGAGCAAGAACGCAGAGGGAGGGTGCTGTGTGCCTCTCCACAGATACTCACCTCCCCCATCCTTTGTGTATGGAGAGAGCTGGGTTTGCCTGTGGGGTTTCCAAAGCAGCGTGCATGTGTGGGGTCAGAACCGCCCCCTGTTGCATGTTCTCATAGCACAGACAGAGAACAGATAAAGCCTTGGTTCACAGACACATAGCACTCACTTCTAACAAGCACAACATCGACCTCAGCTACACTTGGGCTCAGGGAACCCGTTCCCACAGTGGATCTGGCCGGGAATGCCCTGACCCTGGAGAGGCCTATTGACAATCTCCAGGAAAAAGATGGCAATCCTTCTCCTCACCATCACCCACCCTTGCCCATGACTCAACATCCCGGAGACATCTCCTAGACACCATGCAGAGCAATGTGGACGCTGGGTGATGGGCTGAATGGTGTCCTTGGCATGCTCCCATCCTGAGTGGCCTCTTTGCAGCAGCGCTGTCCCACAAGACATCCCGGGGCACAGCACTGTCCAGTGTGTGGCCACAAGCCCTTGAAACGTAGCTAGTACATCTGAGGAGCTGGGCTTTTCACTGCATGTTGTTTTAATCAACCTAGGTTGGAATGGTCACTCATGATGACAGGTACCTACCGTGTTGGATGGTGTAAGGAGGTAACAACTTGCTGAGCATGCCAGAGAGGATACAGGAAACCAACACAGCCTTTGGGGTTCAGACAGGTTTAAGCTTTGCTTCCATGATTTTGTAATTTTACTTTTTTTTTTTTTTTTTTTTTTTTTTTGGCAAATCATATAATCTTTCTGAATTGAGTTTTAGACTCAAAGTTTTATCCATGGTATACTGGGCATACTAGAGCTGAGAGTGGGCAGGGCAGGCAGGTACCATGTGACCTGACATGGAACACTGGGCCTGCAAGGGGGTGGAGGTGGGCAGTGACAGGTACCCGTGGCGTGAAGGGGAAGAGTGCTTTTTCTTGAAATTGAAGCCAGGCTTTCTTCCTGTTGCTTTTATCATTGCCCCAGTGTCCTACAGACCAGGGGCACCTCACTGTCTGGCCCCGGGTGGACTGTACCCACTGCCTACCCGTGAAAGCACCGGGGATGGCCTTGCCTGTGTAAGAGCTGTGTGGAGACGAATTGGGGCACTATTGCTAGCACACCTAGCACCATGCCAGTTACTCTGTACCCAGCACTCTGCTGCTGCTCGCTGGGCCACACTGACAAACTGGAAATGTCCAAGACCTGCTCACGAACTAAGAGAGCAGACATTGAATCGCTGATCGCTCGTCACCTTAATGGCTTTTTCCTTCAGTTTTTTTTTTTTTTCACATTTAAAAAAGATCATTAAAATGTAAAACTTTTTAATGTTAAGATATTCGTTTCTCTCTAACGTTTTGTGGAAGTCAGGATTGGTCTTCATGAGTATAATGTGTGCACGCGACTGTGTGTAGTTGTGCACGCCGGTGAGTGCTGGTATATTTGGAGTCCAGAAGAGGGGGCTGAGTCGCCCGGAGCTGGAGCTGCCGGTGGTTGTGAGCCGTCCAGCCTAGGTGCTGGGAACCAAACTCAAGTCCCTTAGGCGAACAGCAGGTGCTCTTAACGTGAGCCATCACTCCAGCCCCCAAATAACAGCTGTTTTTAAAAATCTCTTTCTCTTAGGCTTTTTAAAAACAGGCTTCTTGAAGCACAGTTCACATACTGCTCTGTTCACTTGGTTTACAACATACGATGAGTGGGGTTTAGTCGCTTTATAGAGTTGCACATCGTGGTCAGTTTTAGAACACCTTTATTATCTCTGAAGGAATCCCACCCATTAGTCATTCCCTGGCTCCCTCTAATTGCCCTCCCCCTAATCAACCACCAGTTCACCTTCTGCCTCTGGATTTCCCAGTCTGGGCATTTCATTTGAATGAAATCATGTAATGTATAGTCTTTTAGAGAGTCTTTTCTTTTGTTTTCATTTTATTTCAGTGTGTGTGTGTGTGTGTGTGTGTGTGTGTGTGTGTGTGCATGCACCTGCGCTCAGCAACTTGTAAGAGTCAGCTCTCTCCTTCCACCAGAAGGGTCTCAGGGCTTGAACTCAGGACATCTTTTACCTGCCATGTTCCCAGTCCAAAATGACTGGCTTCTTTCACTCAGAATAATGTGTTCAAGACTCATCCATGTTATAGCATATACTAATACTTGGCTAATTTTGTTATGAGTAAAATATTCCATTGTACCGGGCCTTTATCTGCCCACCCTCGGACAACGGACATCTCGTTGCATCCTCTTTGGCTAGTATGGACTGTGGGTATTTGTGCCCACGTTTTTGGTGGACACGGTCTCATTTCTTGTGGCTGCCTGCCTCAGAGTAGAACAGAGATGAGAATGCTGTTGCCAACGCTGTGGTGTGTTTCCGTGTTTGCTTGGAGCTTCCTAGCAAACCAGCCATGGCACAGCAGCAACACCGGAGCTTCGTTACACATTTTCTTGGCAGAAATGGTCAGGAGCACAAATAGGTCAATTGTTCGAGGCGCCGAGAAGCCCGTTTTTCACAGCCATGCCACTTCCTGTACATGCCCACCTGTGGAGCATCAGTTCCTCAGCTCTTCTGCACCCTGATGACACCTCCAGTTCCCTCTGTATACAGTCAGAGCTGTGTGGCTGGCTAGAAGGCGGCGTCTCACTGTGGTTTTGAGTTGAATTTTCCTAATGATTAATGATGCCGGGTGTGTTTTCATTTGCTTGTAGGCCATCTGTTTGTCTTTCTTGGAGAAATTCGTGTTCAAATCCTTTGCCCGTGTTTTAATTGGGCCATTTGTCTTCTTTCCCTGTCTCCCCGTTTGGCCCAAGCAGGATGCTGACATGCTGACAGGTGATGAGCAAATATGGAAGGAGGTTCAGGAGTCGCTGAAGAAAATTGAAGAGCTGAAGGCACACTGGAGTATCCTTTACCTGTGGGCCGGGCCGCACTGGTGGTTGCTGCCCTACTGGGAGCTTGGTGTCACTGGTGCCAGGGCAAGGTCTGAAAGCTCAATCGCTACATCTGGGCCCAGCTGGCAGTGTGGGGACCCACCCAGGCACAGATCAGCACAGATACCCTAAATCCCTTACCTCCAGCTAACACTGTGGCCCAGTAATAGCAGAAAGGTAAGTTGTAGGATTTTTGTTTTATTTTCTCCTCCTTCTCTTCCTCCTGCTCTTCCTCCTCCCCCGCCCCCTTCCTCTTTATTTATGCGCAAAAGGTAAAACTCATAGGCCCCCTTCCTCCTACAACTACTTTAGCTTCTGGAAAAGAATGTTAGACTCCTTATCATTGAAAACCACATGACATGCTGCTGGTGATGTCCAGCCGCAGAGGAGGAATGAAACTGCCGTAAATGGGCACAGAGTTAGTTTTTAATTGCAGAGTGGCCGAAAATGGTGTTAAGCAGAGTAGCATGGCTAGATGGGCACAGACCCTGCTCTGGTGGCCTGAACTAATTCCCAAGTGATTTCACTCCCCAGTCTGTCCGTCTCCACCTTCCTATAGTCATTAGGATCATTTGAAAGAAAGCACCCATCTTTCCCTTGGGCCCTCCCTGGTACAGAGCTCAGCACCTCAGTGGGAAACTGGTTATAATAGACACCACAGTACCAGGGACAAACATCAGAGCAGAGAGACATCCGCATCAACTAACTCAGTTAAAATTGTTCCTCCCTGTCCACCCCCTGGAGCAGTTTACATGAGAAGTTTTGCCTTGTTTGCCAGGAGATGGTTGCCAGTATTGTGGAGGGAGGTTGGCATGAAGTCCTTTCCTGCTTGGTGAGGAGGGTGTGGATGTGTTCCTGCGAGTGGGTACAGAATAGCACATCTGGTTTCCACTTGTAAGACTTCCCACCTCAGCCTTGTGATGAGGCAGAGCACGTTCTGGAAATGAGCAGACAAGTAACAATGGGAACCCAGCGAACGATGTTACAATATGGCTCAGGCCTTGCCACAGAAATGTCTGGCATTGTGTAAGAGACAGCCATTCCTCCTGACAGTTTGTCAAACATCTAATCCTGGAATGAAAAGCCACAGAGGTTAGCACGGCAATCTGTTTCAAAATCAGTGCATTGTCTAAGAAACCGCTTCCCCCGACCTCTGGAGGATTCCTTCAGCAAACTTGAAACATCCACCTCACATGAATGCAAAAGAAAATCACCAACTGTCAATAACTCCCAATTACTGTCTTTGGTACATGAATCCCTTCTGGGATCAGAGCCAGGACACACCCTAAGAGGTGACATAAAGGGCCTCAGCTTGACATTCTCCCTAAGGAAATGGTGTTCCAGGGTAAGCCTTTTGTGCCTCAGCTGAGAGAAGCATCTCTCCTTGGGAGGTTCATAGATCCCCCATTCCCAGGAGGACTCGCCGATGTTTTGTAAGCAGTGCTCTGCCGGCACAGTCAGCAGAAAGGTGGCTTTTGCTTGGGGAGAGGGGTGAAAAAACATTCCCTACGTGGGCTGTCTGCTCAGGGTGCTGCCTGCTGAGTTAGGACCCCGGTGATGAGGGCTTGAGTCAAGGCTTAGGTGCAGTGTGTGGAATTCGGGGCTGTGAAGAGACAGGGTTCTCCGCCCTACCTGCCTTCACCCTCTCCCTTCAGCCTGTCACGCTCAGGGCTTGTGACAGGAAGGAAGAAGAAAGGCACTCACATCTCTGCCGTGTGCTTTGCATATCCCAGTAAACCTTCCAACCATATTCACGACACCCACAACTCCGCCCGGCTCATGAGAGGATGCAAAAGTATCCCTCCTCCCCCATTTTTAGATATATTATCTGATTTGATTTGTCCTGAGACTGGCTTTTTATTTTCAGCCTACTTCGAAGCATTTGACTTTCTAAAAGCTCCATCTCCGACAGAAGATAGAACTAGCTTATGCTTGAACCAAGCTTTAATTGACGATAAAGAGCTACACCGTTTCCTCCATAGTTTGAAATCTTCAGACGTTTTTCCCCAAGTGGAATTCTAACATCAGAGCAGAAGAGTATAGAACTGCAGTGGTGGGCAGGGTGGGTCGCCAGGGGAGGAGGGGGACACCCAGACTCAACACAGCAGGGGAGCAGAGAAGCTGTGCGAAGGCACACGCGCATGCAACTCCAGCTGTGCGGTGAAGGAAGCCATGTCCTCGGTCTTCCAGCCGCCTCTGTAAGCGGGTGGGGACATCAGTCTGCAAAGGGGAGGTTAAAGGCTGGGCCAGGTCCGCACACCTGTAGCCCGGCTACTCAGGAAACCGAGGCAGATAGGCTAGTGGAGCCAGTGGATTGAGACCAGCCTGAGTGGCATGGCACAACTCACGGGGAGTGGGATATTAACACTGAGGGTCCATGAAATTAATTACTGACTTAATTGGCACAAGATGAATCAGAAAGTTGAGGCTACTGAGCAGTGGAGCTCCTTGCTCTTTTTAAGATACCGTTTTCCCTTGCTCAAGGTGCACTTACACAAACTGTTCTAAATAGTTTTCTTCTCTTTCTTTTTACTCTTCCTTCTTTCCTTCCTTTCTTCCTTCATTTGTTTTTGTTGTTTTTTGAAATAGTGTCTCTCTATGTAGTTCTAGCTGTCCTGGAACTCTGTAGCCCACGCTGGACTCGAACTCACAAAGATCCATCTGCCATTGCCTACCAAGTGCTGGGATTTAAAGTTATGCACAACCATACCTAGCCTTCAATATTTTCCTTCAATGTTCAGTTTTAAAACAAGAAGACACTTATTCAGTAAGGTGTAGGCTGGGGTCACTTTTGTTTGTTTTATGACAGACAAGCGTATTTCTTCATACGGATGCACCTGCTGCAGGCCTGTGCACTAGGGTGGGCTGGGCTCCATGCATGCCCAGGACTCAGATGAGTCAGACGCAGACACAAGCTGGCCTTCCTCAGGAGGGATTCTCTTTCTTAAACAGAAATAATTCCACAGTAAATAACCTGACGCCGACCTAAAACTTCAGTCCACTTTAATAAACACCGTCATTCATTTCTCAACTAAGTTGAGAAACAGAGCATGTAGAGTGGGGAGAAGGAACACTTCTCAGGGAGATTTCATTCTCCTGGAGGACAGACTGGGTTACAGGACAGTTGACTGGCGTAAACAGAGTTTGCCCCACTAAGATGCCACTTGAATGTGTTTTTGTCTCTTGAGTGTGTTTCCAGGCCGCTCATCTGGGCAAAATAATGGATGCCCGGCCCCTCCCATGCCTAGACCTCGTCAGCCTCTTAGACGAGTCTGTGTACTTCTGTGTTTTCTCTGTGAAGACAGTGAATCCTTAACTGAGGTACCAACAGAGTGGGAGCAGGTTCTGGCCCTGTGCCAGGCCATCCTAAGCAGCAACTCTGAGCGGCTTCCCGACAAAAACATCTACCAGCTGAAGGTGCTGGACTGCGCCATGGATGCCTGCATCAACCTGGGCATGCTGGAGGAGGCCCTGTCCTACGCCATGCGCACCATGGAGCCGTACCGGTGAGCGCAAGGCCAGGCTGAGGCTCAGCGGTCTCCACTGTTGGCCTGGGGGGTGGGGGATGGGGGTGGCCATTGCTAAGTGACTCCAACCCTGTGGTCTCATAGCCAGTGTTCCCACTGGCTTTCTGTGCGCGAAACCAAACCTCTGTTTCTTCACACGTTCACCAGTCACTGGGAAAGCTGTTTCCGGGTTCCTGGCACTGTGCTTGTTCAGAAATGTTAGGTAGTGTTGCTGTGTGGAACGGGTGACTATAATACAGTGTGAGGCTTGCTGACAGAGGCAAGCAAGGAGGGGGCGAAGATGAGCATGTGACTCCGTGCTCTCTTTGGACCATTGGTGCACGTGAGGGAGGCGGATGTGGCCCTCTCTGACTGGCTTACAGTGCTGCTGGGTCCCTTCTACTTGTCAGAATGAATGGCTATCAAGGTGCTTGTGTGCAGATTGTTGGCCCTTATAGCCATCTTGTGACCAGGTGAGGAAGGGAGATTACTTTTCTCCAATAGGTCATTGCATCAGAGAAGAAACTATTGGTGAACTATGTGTAATCCATTACTCTGTGTGTGTGTGTGATTGTGTGTGTGTGTTTGCTCCTATATGGTTTTGTAATGTGGAGGAGCTTTGAGGGGAAAGGGAGGTGGAAGTCAAGTTTGGCAGCGCTGGCTGCGTGGCTACAGTTTTCCCTGGGTAAGAACAGAAGTTGAAACTGAGGGCAAGCCATTGGGGAGAACGCAGGGCAGATGACCCATCTGACAGGGCAAGGTCGCCACAAAAGAAGACAGTTGGACACATGGGACATAAAGGGGACAGTGTCTGCAGAGCAGGGCGCCATGCCTAGAACTGTCAGATGATGCAGACACAGCCTAGCCAAAGACGGTGAAGCCCATTATGGATTCTCCATAATCCAGGTCTAGACCCATGGGACACAGGACAACAGTGCAGGGAGTGGCTCTCAGTGAAGCAGGTGGAACACTCCCTGTCCCCACAGAAAGCAGGGAGGGGAAACTACCATGTCAAGAACTTAAGCAGGGTTAGGATCCAGGCTGTCGATATTGAAAGCAATTATCAAGCCTGTGTGACCTTAGGTCAGCAATCGGATCTGAGCCAGGACTAGGTGTGGGCAGAAAAGAGCCTTAAGATAGCCAAGTGCCCGAAAACAGGTAGATGTCAAAGACCCACAGCCAGCTAATGGCACCAGACCCGAGGGTGTTTCAAGACTTTGGCAGGTGGCTGCTTTCCTTCCCTTGTGGTGAACAGCTTTGGAAGCCGTCTATGAGTCAGCTTTAATCTAACATATAAGATACTGCCTGGAGGGCTGAGACCAGAGACTTTCCCATGAGCAGTGGAATGTCTGTTTGGGGTGAGGCATCTTGTGGGTTTTCTGGAAGTATGAATCGAACACGGAGAGATAAGGCTGCTCTCTCAGAGCCTTACTGGGTGTTGACATGGCAGGCAGACTGTGATGGTTGGCGCAGTCTCTGAAGGCTGGGGCCTGGCCTCCAGAGCCCAGAACACAGGCGGCACAGTGAATGGATGGACCCGGGCCAGGAGCTGCAGACTAAGAGGTTCTGCCTTTCTCAGAGGCCCTGTGGCAGCACTGGCCCCCCACCCTGGCTGGTCTTTGAAGCAGATTTTTGCCCCATTATCTCCTTCTCTTTGCCATCCAGGCTGCCCTGCCGAGGCCAACCTGACACCGTCTTTTAAATGGCCCTGCCAGAAGGTCCTGGCAGTCCTGAATGCATTTTGAATTCTCTTTTGTACACAGGTACAGAGACTTCTGCACAGTGTTGATCTAGCTGGCCCTTTTACTGACCGGCACTTGAGTCAGACAGAAGCTTGCCACATAGAAGCCAGGTCCCTCACAGCATCCTCCCTTGTGTGTGAGAAACTTTTGGTTACATTTTTGTGGTGTTGGCCAGTCACATTCTCTCTGTAAATGTGTGCGCAGCGATAGGTCTCCGGGCCTGCTTCAGCCTCTTCCCCCAGAGAGCTCTCTAAGGGCTTGCTTTGCGGTGTGCCGTACCGTCCCACTCCCCGTGAGTAGGACTTGTGCCATCAGAGGCCCTGCAGAACAAAGGCGATGGACAGTCTGGAACCAACATCGCTAAGAGAAGCAGGAACATGCTCTGTCCTTTCCCTTTTAGCGCAGGGCCAGTGAAACTAGGAGCACAGGCCAACGGGTGAGCCGCCCCACCAGCCACCCGACGACCTTGGAGCAAGAAGGGAGTGGGAAGGTGGCAATAGTTTTCATGTGCTTTCAGTCACCTGCACATTGGCCCGCTGCTGCTCTAGGTAGGCCTTCGCCCCCATTGAGCCAAGGACGAGGACGAGGACAGTTAGCTAGGCCTGGGTTACTCAACGGTGACTGGATTGCCATCTGCAGGAATAATTTGACAATGTCAATCTGCTATTTGCCGTGCCCGGATTGAGGTCAAGTCTCTAGTGAGCATTTTGCCATCCATGACCTTGGGTGAGCTTTAACTGCTGACCTTGGAGGACGGCGTGCCCAGATTCCATTTTCATCCCGCCCGCTGCTCCCAACCCCTGTTTTGCTCCTCACTTATTTCTTACTCAATAGATCTTACTTAACTTTATGGTGCAATTTAATACAGACCTTTTCATTAAATCTTCCACAAGGCAAGTTGGGAATACAACAAAACGTCTGGCTCAGCTCCCCAGTGTGTATACCTCATCCTTTTAATAGATATATGTGTGTCATCTCAGAATTGTGCCCTTTACAGGTATGCACAGTTTGTTCACTGGGTCAAACAGTGCTGTGATTCATATCAAACCATTGGATTCTTCTCTGTGTGATGATGTGGTCAGATCCTCATGGCATATTTGTTCAGATTCCTGACCGCTTGGCTGCTCTGCCTACACAAGCCTTGCTCGGTTTAAATTGGATAGTCATCACCACTACAATGTCACTTCATCGTCAAGGGAATATGAGAAACGATGAATCTGTTCACTTATTATTATTATTCCTGAGATAAGTTTATTTCTAAATATTATCAGGGCCTTCTCTATCCCCTTAATCAAAACCTGGCGGTGAGATTTGTTGATATTCATTTTGTTCATAAACAATAGTTTTGTGGCACTGGAAATGACACAGTGTGAGTTTCCTGGGGGAAATGCAGAGAAGGAACAACGGAAAAATGCACTCAAGTTCTGGGCGCAGACGCTCGCTGTCCTGAGACATAGAGCTGGGGCAAAGGGGATCTGCCAGGGAAAGAATGCCGAAGGAGCAAGATTCCCGCTCAGGTAGGTGTCTGTACTTTCTTGTTAGTAAGAACCCAGGCTGGCTGGAGGAGAAGTGAAGTACAGCTGGGGGTCGGCAGCTATGGCGCCTTTACACTCAGGCATTTGTAACTCAAAGTGCTGTAGTCCCATAGCTTGTGGCAGCACTTTCCATTTCGCTAGTCATTCTGTGACCTTCTCCCATTGATTTCCAGCTGGCTTTTCTCCCCAAAGGCCTGCAATTGCTCTTTTGTAGTGTTTGTCAATGCATAGGACGTTAGGACAGACGACAGAAGAATTGGTCAGGTGCACATCGCAACAGGGAGACCGAGATAGGTGGATAGAGTCACACCCCTGAGCTTAAATCCCGAGATCGTCCCGTGTCACATGGGTTTGTTAGGCCAGGGTCTGAGGACGCTTGTGTCAGCGTCTTCCGCTGAAGCTCCTTTCCAGGACTCAGGGGAGGTTCTTGGCTGTTGCACCTGGTTTAGAACCCTCTACTCCAGATGCACAGGTGTGCAATGCAGAACCATCACGCCAGATCGCTCACACAGAAACAGTGCCCAGATGTCACTGGGCATTTGGTTCCCTCATTGTGCTCAGTGTTTATCTTCTATGGTAAACGTTAGAGGGTTAGTTTATCCATTAGTGAACATACTCTTTATCCTCTGCTTACTGATGTAGATCATTATTCTTTATCTAACTAATCACTTTTTCCCACTTTGTAGTGTCTTTGGCAAGGCCTCCATACCAATTTTAAGCTTGGTGTGTGTGTGTGTGTGTGTGTGTGTGTGTGTGTGTGTGTGTGTGTGTGTGTGTGACTACTAAGTGATCTGCCCTACTTAGATTTAATCAGTTGTGCTTTCAGTTAACTGTCAGTTCCGTGAGACTGGCCACCAGCTATGGCCCTTTGACTTCGCACTGGCCCAGTGGCCCAGTAGTGGTCAAGGACTCAGCAAGACTTTAACCTTTAGTATGAAACCTTTTCACTTAATTCCAAAGGACAAGATGTTCTTACTTCAGAATCTAGAAGCAAAACCAAAGGGGGAAAACACGAAAGGTAATTGTGGAGCCAGGCATTCTGGCACACACCTGTAATCCCAGCACTCAGGCAGATTGCTTTGAGTTCAAGGCCAGCCTGGTCTACAAATTGAGTCCAGGACAGCCAAACCTACACAGAGAAACCCTTTCTCAGAAACAAAACAAAACACAAAAACTAACCAAAACAAAGGTTAAGTGGGAAAGAGGAGGGAAATGGCAGAGGAGGAGGCGACAGCAGTGTTCAGGAGTCAGTAACAGAGGTGATACCAAAGCGTTGACTCCAGCTCAGACCTTATTACCTGTGTCTTCCTGGTGGTAAAAGCCAGACCTCATAGGAGTGTCGGGGTCACGTTGGGAATAACAACGAGCAATTTCTCTAGCTACATGTTTCTCGCGGACTTGGAAAAAGGAAAAACTGTTCTTCAGTGGTTCTCGCCTCACAAAAGAACCCTGTCCTCCTTTAGCCCTGCCTGGTAGAGACAGGTGGCAGGGAATAGTCCTGTGTTGACCTGGTTGCACTGAATGATTCAGTTCTTGAATTAGTTGTAGCTTGAACTGTGGCCCGGCTCTTTAGCTTTGGCTCTTGATGAGAAATGTAGGGCAGTTTTGTATAGAATTGTCGAAGGCCCTGCCTTGTTCCCCTCTAGGCAAACTGGAAAAATAAAGCCAAAAGGCAGCTCATCGTGGGCTCACCTGTTCTTGTGAACACAGGGCTAGCGACTGT